AATGCAGAGGAGTGCAAGGTGGCTTTCGATCGGGATCCCTCTAATGCCAACCTCCTCTGTCGTCAACGTAGCGCTGCGGCTTTGACACATGCGATTGCACTGGAGGAAGCTTTCTGGAAACAAAAAGCAGCATGTCGGTGGGCGGTCGAGGGTGAGCAGAATTCCCGTATGTTCCACTCCATGGTGAAGGAACGATGCCGGCGGGCTACGATTTTCTCGATGGCGGACGGTGATCGTACTCTCACTGATCACTCAGATATTAAGCGCTCTGCCATCACCTATTTCTCTAAGATGCTGGGACAGCCTGATGATGCCGACACCTCGGGAATGGATGCCTTGGCGGATCCACCGCCCTAGGTCCCGCCGGCCGAGTGCACTTGGTTGCTTGCGCCGCCTACGCTTTCGGATGTTCGTGCTGTGGTTTTCTCGATTGATCAGGATAGTGTGGCTGGCCCCGATGGCTTCTCTGCCGCCTTCTACCAAAAGTGTTAGGATATTATCCGGGAGGATGTGTTTGATGTTGTATTGGATTTCTTTTCGGGAGCTCCTCTCCTGAAGTTCTATACGGCGACGACTCTTGTGCTTATCCCCAAGAAGGACGGACCACTCGCTTGGGCTGATTATCGGCCTATTAGCCTCTGTAATGTGAGTAGTAAGATCTTCACAAAGCTTCTTATGCGCCTTGGCCCGCTACTGCCGCAGCTCATATCACCGCATCAGAGTGGCTTTGTCAAAGGCCGAGCGATCGCTGACAATATCCTGCTGGCTTCGGAAATAGTCCATGATCTCAATCTGCGGGGCGAATCGCATAACTTATTGCTGAAATTGGACCTTAACAAGGCCTACGATCGGGTCTCGTGGCGGTTCTTGCGGCATGCCCTTACCAGGTTCGGTTTCCCGGTTCATTTCATCACCTTGATCATGAATTGTGTAGAGCATGCTTGGTACTCAATCCTTGTGAATGGGGACCTGGGTGGCTTCTTCCCCTCCTTGCGAGGCCTTAGGCAGGGAGACCCCCTGTCCCCGACCCTGTTTGTTTTGGCTGCAGATCTTTTATCACGCGGCTTGGAGCGCCTATACAGTCGTGTCCCGGATCTGTACTACCGGTGTTGTGGTCGGTTCCGGTTGACGCACCTAGCCTATGCGGATGATGTCCTCATATTTGCTAATACCTGTGGCGATCGCATCAGCCTTCTGACGGACTTTCAAACGACCTATGCACGGATTACTGGTCAGAAGGTGAACTGCCAGAAAAGCCAATTTATCTTCAGCCGCCAGTGCCCGGAGAGTGTACAGCGGCAGCTTCAATCTGTGACTGGTTTCGGCACGGCTGGACTTCACCTTACGTATCTCGGTGCACCGCTCTATGTGGGTAATCGGCGTAATATTCTTTATAAGGAACTCATTGGGAAGCTCCGTCGTTATCTGCAGCGTTGGGATCGCTCAGTTCTATCACATGGGGGTCGCTTACAGTTGATCAAGAGCACTCTGTTCTCGCTCCCCCTCTATCTGCTGCAGGTACTTTGCCCCCCCAGACTGTCCTTCACTCTGTGGAGCAGTTTTTTGCTCGTTTTTTCTGGAGCTCTTATCACGGGCACCGCCGCCGCCATTGGATCTCCTGGGCGGATATTACACGGCCGCAGCAGGAGGGTGGGCTTGGCATTCGTCGCCTGTCTGATATGGTTCGGGCATTCTCGTTTAAACTGTGGTGGCGGCTCAGAGAGGGATCCTCCCTTTGGGCTCGTGCGCTTCAACAGAAGTATTTTCGCAACTCTTTCCCAGGCCTTGCACCTTGCCGAAGCTACGACAGTCCGGTATGGAAGCTTCTCTACCAAGTTCGAGATGAGGCGCAGACTCAGATCACTTGAAATTTGGGGCGTGGGGAGTGCTTCTTTTGGTATGATACTTGGTGTGGCGATCGCCCTCTCTGCACTGACCGCCAGGACCGTCCCCCGCCGATACGGGTGAAGGAGATGTGGTCAAATGGGACGTGCGATTTGACGCACCTTCGGGCCTACCTTCCGGAAACACTTGTTCAGCAGGTCTCTGCGATTCCTTTTGATCCCCTGACTGCCGATCAGCCAATCTGGAAGGCCTCGACTGCAGGTTTTTTTTCTACGACTTCTGCTTGGGAGATGAGCCGCACGGTTGGGGCTCGGAGCTGGCTTTCTTGCAGCCTATGGTCGCCACTTCTTACTCCTACAATGTCAGTTTTCCTATGGCGTTTATTTCGCTGTCGGATACCCGTCGATGAGGCCTTACGGAAGATGGGCCTTCCTATTGTTTCTCGCTGCCAGTGCTGTCGGGAGTCTGAGACGATCAAGCACTTATTCTTCTCGTCGGCGGTTGCGCAACGTGTGTGGCACCATTTCGCCGACTTATTTCGCATCCAACTCCCAGGGACCCATGCGCCCCACCTCATGGTTTCTGCTTGGCGCCTGTCCTCCCCTCATGTGCGGAGCATCCGTGCCTCTATCCCTCTTCTAGTTTTCTGGTTTCTTTGGATGGCACGGAACGACGCCAAACACCAAGGTATCCAGATTTCGTCTGACCGGATTATTTGGCGCATTCACTCTCATTTGCAGGTCCTTTGGCGTGCTGGCCTACTCCAGCGATAGCATTGGTCAGGGGATTTCCACCTTGCCTCCCGTCTCGGCCTTCGCCTCCCGCCCCCGGTCCCTCGGCCGCCGGTTTTAGTGCGCTGGGAAGCTCCTACTCCGGGATGGTTCAAACTCAACACTGATGGGGCATCACTTGGAAATCCAGGTGCTGCTGGGGCTGCGGGCATTATTCGGGACGCCACGGGTGCTCCCCTTGTGGCCTTCCAGGTCCCACTCCCGCACACGACAAATACTTTGGCTGAGTTGCATGCAATTCGATTTGGCGTGGACTTAGCAGTGGCACGAGGCCTCCTCCCTCTATGGATTGAGACGGACTCCGCCAGCAGTATCTCTTTACTCTCCTCCTCGGCGGGACATTGGACCCTCCAACCTTGTCTCCATCACCTGCGTCTACAACTACGCACCATCGAGTGGAGGATCTCCCATATCAACTGCGAGGGCAATAAAGTGGCGGATAAACTTGCGGCCACATCAGTCTCTCTTCCTCAGATACGGATCCTGGAGCCCACAGACATTCTTGCGAGGACTCGTGGCTTCATCATGCTGACGCAGCAGGCCTTTCGTGCTTTCGCTTTCGTTAGCTTTTATTTGCTTTTATAAGTTTCTTTTTACTGCTTTACCCTTTTTCGACATTGTACGCACAAACTTTTAGAACTACGTATGGCTTGATCCCGGCTCTTTGAGCCCAGCCAAAAAAAAAACCCTAAACCCTAAACCCTAAACTCCTTCAGCGACAGCAATGGTCAGGGGATTTTCACCTTGCTTCCCGTCTCGGCCTTCACCTCCCGCCCCCAGTCCCTCGGCCGCCGGTTTTAGTGCGCTGGGAAGCTCCTACTCCATGATGGTTCAAACTCAACACCGAGGGGGCATCACTTGGAAATCCAGGTGCTGCTGGGGCTGCGGGCATTATTCGGGACGCCACGGGCGCTCCCCTTGTGGCCTTCCAGATCCCACTCCCGCACGCGACAAATACTCTGGCTGAATTACAAGCGATTCGATCTGGCGTGGACTTAGCAGTGGTGCGAGGCCTCCTTCCTCTATGGATTGAGACGGACTCCGCCAGCAGTATCTCATTACTCTCCTCCTCGACGGGACATAGGACCCTCCAACCTTGTCTCCACCACCTGCGTCTTCAACTACGCACCATCGAGTGGAGGATCTCCCATATCTACCGCGAGGGCAATCATGTGGCGGACAACCTAGCGAACACATCAGTCTCCCTTCCTCAGATGCGGATCCTAAAGCCAGCGGACATCCCTGCGAGGGCTCGTGGCTTCATCCATGCTGGCGCAGTGGGCCTTCCGTGCTTTTGCTTTCGTTAGCTCTTACTTGCTTTTATAAGTTTCTTTTTACTTCTTTTATCCTTTTAGACCTTGTACGCACAAACTTTTTTAGAACTACGTATGGCTTGATCCCGTTTGGGTACGTAGGCAGCTCTTTGAGCCTAGCCATAAAAAAAAAAACCCTACACCCTAAATCCTAAATGTGTTTACTGGGTTTTGTCTTGAAATTGGGCTGTGTTTTATTGGGTCTGTCTGTTATTTTTTCAAAGCCCACAAGCATTTGTATTTTGAAGGGCTTGGGCTTTCATTTCCATTTGGCCCATTTGGATTAGCTGTAGGGAAAATATTGTATTTAGCTGTTTTGGTTTGGCTTTTACCTTGGGCCGGATCTGTGTCACTACTGGGCTAGCTAGCATGTACTGGTTGAGGAGGCCCAAACCTTGTTTGGGCCTTTTTGTTTGGACTTGTAAAAATTTCTTGGATGATATGAAAATTTGGTTTTAAAAAAAAAAACCCTAAACCCTAAACCCTAAACCCTAAACCTTAAACCCTAAACCCGAGGCCTCCTCCCTCTATGGATTGAGACGGACTCTGCCAGTAGTATCTCTTTACTCTCCTCCTCGACGGGACATTGGACCCTCCAACCTTGTCTTCACCACCTGCGTCTTCAACTACGCACCATCGAGTGGAGGATCTCTCATATCTACCGCGAGGGCAATCAAGTGGCGGACAACCTTGCGAACACATCAGTCTCCCTTCCTCAGATGCGGATCCTAGAGCCAGCGGACATCCCTGCGAGGGCTCGTAGCTTCATCCATGCTGGCGCAGCGGGCCTTCCGTGCTTTTGCTTTCGTTAGCTCTTACTTGCTTTTATAAGTTTCTTTTTACTGCTTTTTATCCTTTTAGACCTTGTACGCACAAACTTTTTTAGAACTACGTATGGCTTGATCCCGTTTGGGTACGTAGGCAGCTCTTTGAGCTCAGCCATTAAAAGAAAACCCTAAACCCGTCTGTGCAAGTGCGAAGCTCTCTGCATAACAATGATGCTTAGATTGCAAAAAGCGTCTTCTTCTCGCATTGTAAAGTTATCTATTACAAGATTTTCAACTAGATGTACGGAAGTGTAGGCTCTTGTGCGCATCTTGCAATGGTCAATTCTTCATGGACTCAAGCACATATCGAGAAGCTTTGGGGAATCCCTTCTTGTATTAAGAGGGTCTACCCTCCCTATGATACTTCTGGTCTCCAGAAGCTACCCTTGGAAAGATCGGTGGAGCCAATGAGGATAATTTATGTGGCTCAATTTCGTCCCGATAAGGCTCACCTGCTTCAACTTGAGGCATTTGCGGTTGCTATCGAGAATCTTGATTCACATCTCCTCCGGCCTAAACTCCAGTTTGTCGGTAGTTGCAGGAATAAAGCAAACGAGAAGCGATTGCTTGTTTTAAAAAACCGTACGAATGAGCTAAATTTGGGCTGTCATGTTGAGTTTTATAAAAATGTGCCCTACAGTAAGCTGGTGAGTCTCTTGGGTGATGCAACGATGGGAATTCATTCCATGACAGACGAGCATTTTAGTATCAGTGTGGTGGAATTCATGGCTGCCGGTGCTATACCAATCGCTCACAATTCAGCTGATCCCAAAATGGACATAGTTTTACCCGAGGATGGAAAGCCAACGGGGTTTCTCGCCCAAACTGTCCAAGAATACGCCGATGCCATTCTTTTGGTTATCAGAATGTCAGATTCGGACCGGCTTGAAATGGCTGCAGCTGCAAGAAAACGAGCTTTACAGTTTTCAGGACAAAGATTCGATCAAGATTTCATGGCTGCAATAGAACCACTCATGTCGGGTTCTTCTCAATCTTAATGACAAGAAAACTCGGTAATTCTAAACTCTATTTTGTTAACAAATTTACAATATAGTTGAGTTAGAACATGCTTCTCTGACCATAATTTATGATCAATCCCTTCTATACTGACGTAGTTTTGGGCTTTGATAAATCTTGATAAGTCGAAATGCATGGCCTGTTTCTTTATTGCACGTAGGATACAAAAAAAAACCCCAAAAACCTAAACCTAAACCCTAACCCCCCAAAGTAGGCAGCTCTTTGAGCCCAACCATATAAAAAAAAAAAAAAAAACCCTAACCCCCCAAAGCAACATGAAAACAGTAATTATGCATTCACCGCTAAGATGTTGACATAAGGTCTCTTAAGGATTTCTAGATGATATCTAGGAACTTACCATGAAACAATGAAACCAATGTTTTATCTTCTTTAATAAATCATCACAGCGAGCAGAGTTTGAAAAACCACATTTATAGATCACGATTATACATATATGGGGGGATGCACGCAAAAATATAGTTAATTATGAGATAAATTTTTTCTTAACAACATGATAATAAATAAATATAAGAAAAAACAGATGCATCAACAATGCCATGAAGACAATAATGGCATTTCATTAAGGAGTTGAACTAAAGGAACCGTTTTATAGGCCTCTTATGGGTTTCCGAATGATGATGTGAAATGAATGTGAAACAATTAGCTGAAGTTTCGATCAAAACTCGCAAGTGATCAGACGTTCACAGAAGTTAAGTATGTGCTTTGTTGGTTCCCTGAAATAGCTTAAAACACTTGAATCACATGCTGATTGATTATGAACCAAGGGTTAAATTATAAATAGGCTATCAATATAAGAATCTAAAAGGGGAAATAAATAATGATAATAATAATAATAATAATAATAATAATAATAATAATAATAATAATAAAGCAAGAACTTGTATCGCATAAATTTTCACTTTAATTCCGTAGTCCAGACCAAAAATCCGGAAGTTCTCAATGGCGAAAACTAAAAACTTGCCAGACGATAAACCCAGAAGTTTAACATTGAATTTCGGGGTTAAAAAGCATGGTGGCGACAGAGCGATGAAGCAACAAAATAGGGAGCACGGAAAAAATGAGGAACGGGAACGAACCTTGAGAGGGTGGAGACCAACCTTGAGATCGAGGGCGATCCGGTCATTATCTTCGTCCACAGCCGGAGGGGGTAGATTGGTGGCAGTGGTTTTCTTTTTTTTTGCTGCCAATTCCATGGTAAGCCGTGAGCCCTACCCTCCTCTCCAACTCTGTCTATGTGATCTCCCCTTTAAAGTTGAAATGAATAAAATGATTTGGGGTTTAGTTTTAACTAAAGGCGCAATGTTTAGCTATCATATGAGGGTCTATTTCTTTAGCCATCGGATAAAAAATATCTATATTTCCATTTTTAATAAAAATATTATTTTTATTTTTTACTCTAAAATTTTTTTTTTAACAATTTTTTTTAAAATTCATGTCCCTTCAAAATTAAGAACAAAAAAACTTTATAGGACGAATGAATATAATATGAGTTTTTTATTTTAAATTAAAATAAATATTATTTATTATGCATATTCTTTAATTAAAATATAATTCATTCGTCTCATAACAAATGACATATTATATATTTTGTAAAATACACTAAGTGGGTGTTTGGCAAATAGTTTTTTGAAGAATTTTTAACTTATTGAACAGCTTTTAGCTGTTTGACCAGTCAAAAAGCTAATTTAGGTATTTGGTAAATTAGCTTTTTGGAATAGTTTTTTGGACCCAAAAAGCTAATTTCTGAAAAGCTAACTTACCAACGTTTTGAAATAGCTTTTTCTGTAAAAAAAATTTTTATTCTTTATATGCCCTTAAAAATTTATTATGCATTTTACACAAATAAATATATTTTGATTATTTATTAATTATATTAAAATATTTTATTATAATATAATTTTACTTTTATAAATTTAAAATAATTAATTTTTATATAAAAATTATTTTAATTGTAAAATATATAAATTTATTAAAATAACATAAAATAGAAAATAAAAATATTAATAATTTATTTTTATATTAAAATTACATTATATAAATTTTATACTAAAAATAAATTAAATTTATTGAAAATTATAAATATAATGAACTAATCGTGACACGACCCCACTTACACTATACTACTAACGCCAATTCAACCTATTTGTAAACGGTAAACATGCTATAATCCCTCTTAATTACATTCATATATAACAACCTGTTAACATGGTATATATTTTTTTCTCGGCAAAACATAACATAACTCAACGGTAACCTGTTAAAATTCACCAAAAGGATCTCAAACCATATCAAAAACTACATAATCGACATACTATTTATAACAACACCATACAACTTCTAAATCTCCGTAGAACAACGGAAGCAAAACAAGCCACGGTCATGCCCGCAGGTCGTCATCTATGTACACGGTAACTCAAAATGCCTATAAGAGCGCCACGGCTACTCCAGTCTGTCTACCAAGTCATATATAATCAAGATTACCTACAATGCATAAGTTGAGTGAGATTTATAAATCTCCGTAAGTAGAAATTATGTATGATGTGAAGTTTATCTCAAAATTCTCACTATGCAGAATGTGCTCTCATTTGAAATCACCAATTTATTTATGAAATACTTTCCAGGGCCCCTAGACACACTGTTATACACCGGAAGAGCTCAATATCTATATATTCAAATCAAACGATGGCCTACACCGGGTCTCCTCGTAAGGTTTCCCTGGGTCGCTTCTTCCCAGGTCGCCTCTTCCGAATGCATTGTTTATGCATTGTATGTAAAGTCACAATAGACGGTGGCCTACACCAGGTAGCCTACACCAGGTTTCCCCAGGTCGCTTCTTCCGAGGTCGCTTCTCCCGCCCTCGGTGTATAATCAGCGGTCGAACATAGTAAAACCATCTTATTTCATTTCAATGCATGATATGCATGTTTAATGAAAATGCAATGCAACATATTTCACAATATACAGATATTATTGAACTCACTGGTTCAAACCACATCAATTTTGGAGCTCACAGACTCCTTCAACATCAAATATAAAGTTCACAGGCTCAACCATATCACATGCAGCGCTCACAGGCTGAAACCAATTTGTATATGAAGCTCACAGGCTCAAACTACATAATCACATAATATTAATCACATATTACAGTTTTTTTATATTCACATATTATCAAACAAACATAAATAACTCGTAAAATAATATATTTATGCATTATAGTTGCAAATGAATTTCTACTTAACTGAAATTTGCAAAAAACGTCAATAACCCTAACTCTTACAGCCCTTTTCCTAATTCCAGTATCGTATCTAACAACAATTAATTACATATATTACCCCAATTTACTAAATAACTATTTCTACTCAAAACTTCCTCTACTTAGTAAAAATAGCAATAATTAGTGAACACAAAGAAGTACCTGAACTAGGTTTTTAACGAATTTGGCATAAAAGTTTTTTTTTCTTCTTCCTCTTCTTCTTTTTCTTCTTCGCGTTCCTTCTGCCTTATCGTCTGTAATGAATTGATGATTGAGGTGGCGGGGGATTTATTCCCTGCCCCCACCGCCTTAACTTTTATTATTATTATTATTATTATTATTATTATTATTATTATTATTATTATTTTTCATTATTATTATTATTATTAATATTATGATTATTTTTATTATTATTTTATTTATTTTAGTTTTTATTTAAAATTACAATTAATTTTCAAGTGATCCATATATAACTTACACCTTTAATATCTAAATAATTTACCCAACCTATTTGTATCCTACTGGAATCTCAAATAAGTTATGATAATATTTTCTTATTAATAAACATGTAAAACATATACCAAATTATAAACAATTTAACATATAAGTAATTTATCAGCACCTAAAATATGAAATATATATTGGCCAATGAGTAGTGAGAACCTCGGGTATCACAAATTGATAACTAACATAATAAATATATACACAAAAATTTATTATTTTATATTTTACATCATTTTCAATAGAAAAAACTACTTATATATTTTAATAAAAATATATTTTTTTTTAAAATTTAACTGTAATAAAAATAAATATTTTTATAACACTTTTACAATTTTCAATAACTAATAACAAAAAATTTTAAATATTCTAAACTCAAAAGAACATAATTGAATATATTAGAAACAAAAATAAAATAGAAATGTCCTCAATTGTCATTTTACATATAAACAGCTAATATCAAACAGTTGTTTTACCAAACATTTTAATACAAACAACTAATCAAACCAGCTAGTCAAACCAGCTAATTAAATCAGTTAACAACTATCAGCTAATTGAATCAGCTAACAGCTACCAACTATCAACCAATTGTCAAACACGCCCTAATTATTTAACAAATATAAACTAATATAATTCATTTTATAATATATGACATTATACAGATCTGACTCATTCAAAAAAAACTATTTTTATTTATTTCATCAGTAGACAAATATTTTTACCTATGTTTAAAACTTCTCATTTTTATAAAATTGATTTATGAATTCAAAATTGAATTGAATGTGATTAAAAATAAATTTACACTACTAACTTGAAATACAAGTACATAATTAAAAAAATTAAAAGATGAAGTCAAGGAATGAGTCAGCCATTGAAGAGCATTATGAAATCATATATTAGGTTGGGTGCGAAATGGATTGACGTAGGCTTAGAGGTGGGTGGGTAGATAGGGACGGGTGAATCAATTAATAAATTCACTACTTGTATTTCTATCATATTTTTTAAGTCAAATTGAATTTAAAGAGTTCTTTTCACGTGAAGTTCTTAGTTTACCTGACATCGTGATTTCTTTCATAATCATGTAACTATATTAGATGATTTATATTCGTATTTTGGTCAAAGTTATGTAATATGTTTTGCAAAATAGTTATCTAAAGTATGTGTTAGTCGGGAAGGGATCCTCAGCATCATCCCCTCTCTGCCCCACCCTGCCCACACACACCAATATATAGATATATGGGTGTGTATTTATAAAATTGATTTTATAGATACACGCCGATGTATCTATACATTGGGTGTGTGATGATGCTAAGAGTGGGGCAGGGAGGGGTGATGTTGAGGATCCCCTCCCGTATTAGTCATAGATGATAATGCGATGAAAAATTAAGATATTAAATAAACATTGTGTTTCCACAACAAAACTATAAACAAATTTCTTGTTATTTATTAACACTTTTCTTGTTCCTTATAAATATATTTCTTGTTGCTTACAAATTATCATTACGACACTACTTTTAGTTTTTACAACATATAAATATATATATCAAATAAAATATGTCCAAAATAATATTGAAGGCAAAATTTAATTTTTGAAAATTAATAGGAGAAACCAAACAATCAAAGCCTTAAGCAAAACTCCTTGTTCTTGTTTGTAATTGCATAAATAAAACCAAACATATTCTGCAAGGCTGGGAGTACATCCATGATTCAAAATTCGATTTAGTTGATGAAGTCAATCGACTCTAGACAATGACGATTCTAACTGAACGCTCGATGGACAACCATCATCAATAGTAGTGGCTTCTCTCCAATAGCAGAGAGTGATGCAATTCGAAAGCGGAAAAGCATAATTCAGAGACGACTTTTTTGATGATTTGAACGAACAACAACGGTCGAATAGTGATGCATGTAATCTTCTTTCTGATCTTCTCCAGGCAAACACGAATGAACAACTCCGGACAACATTGAATTATTTCTTCCTCATATTCGATTCCTTTGGTGTTTTGGTCTATGGTAAGACATGGTTGATATGGGATATAATATTTTATCATATCGATATTGTACTGAAAATTCGTTATAATAGATATCTATACCTGAGTATGCCGATATATTGAATATCAAAATAAATTACGATATTTTTTGTATATACAAAAATATCAATTTATATATTGTTATCGTACCGAAAAAATTCAATAAATTTCAATAGCTATGGTATTTTTTTTTTTGGATATTGTGTATGTATATATATTATATTTTTGTATATTTCCTCCCTATAAGAAATAATAAATATTTAATACTATCTCCGTTCCATAAGAACGGTACCGTTTGCGTTTGCATCATTGTGTTTAATATTAAAAATATTATTAAATTTATATAATTTATTTCTCAAATGTCATTGTATTTGTATTAAAAGAGACTAATATAAATATTTTTGTATTTTTTTCTTAATTTATACTACGTATTAATATAATAATTAATATTCAAAGATGGACATTAAAAAAAAAAAAAAAAAAAAAAAAAGCCTATCATACTCTTTTCATGAGATGTGTATCTTTGGAAAAATTATTATTTGATAAATAATATAAAAAGTTCTAAAAATATATTTTGTTTGGACATGAAAATTTAGGTAGTATAGATTAATTATTTAAATAGTGAAATTAATTATTTAATGATTTTTTTTTTTGAATATGTGTTTAAATATTTCTATATTATATCTCAGTAAAATATATATGATACAAATATCATTTTTTAAAAAAAAATAATAATTTTTGTTGAGTGTGTTTAACAGAAATAAATTTATAAAATATAAAAAGAAACTATCGATAAACAAAAAAGATAATGGATCATCCGGACAAAGATAGTATTTGTAAACAACACTAAGGGGGCCGATACATGTGGATTATATCACTATGTTCTTTCATTGAATTGCAATTTCCAAAAAAATATTAATTAAAACACATAATTTTTTATAAAAAATCAAAAAGTAAAAAACAAAAAAATATTCAAATACTGATTACAAAAATTTAAAAGGTCAAATATTTAACTTAATATTAAATATTATATATTTATATTTTACTTAATATTAAAAATATTTTTATATTTGTATATATTTTTTTTTACAAATATCTTTTATATTATATATTTTATAATTTTGACACAATTTTTCGTACTACAAGCTAAATATTATTTTATCTAAAAACTGAAACCAAACATATATATATATATATATATCAACATAAATAAACCCTAACCACATTTAAGTTGAGATCACCATTTCCCGTTCAAAGCAAATTGGACCATCGAATTGGGCCGAAAATAGTCTCGAATATGAATCATTCAGAAGCTATAAATCCAATAAATGCACCTGTTTGAAATGAACGCACGATCCAGTCCACCAAACACAGACAATTGCTTTCTGAGTAATTTCTTTGTCGGCAACCGGGGGAGTGACCTTCGAATGCCTGTCATATCATTTTATTGGCTGAAGTAATCCCACGACGAAATAGCCCAATGGTTTCGTTTCGGCTTTTCTTCGTTTTTCTCTCTCTCTCTCTCGGCAAGGGCATCTGCAATTCTCTTTCAGGGGCAGGGCAGAGTGGGTAATAACATGAATGAAATACGACTACTAAATAAAAATAAGAATAAGAGGAAGGATAAAGAAAGAAAAGAAAAAGAAATGACCTACCCAACCCAACCCAGCACACCGCACTCCCACCGCCCAATATATAATGAAGGCAGGGCAGGGCTGGGCAGGCAGGGCGTGCTTTGTGCAGACGGATGAACAAAAAGGATAGCCATATGATCCATCCATACCAACACAACACTTCGATATATTGAAACACGCAGCCCCCTCCGAAAATTCTTACCTCTTTCCTTTTCGTCCAGTTCCGCACCTCGGACTCAAATCGCAGATTCTGTTGTTAACACTTGCCCTTTCTTTCTCCTTTTCCTTGAAAAACGGTAAACCCCGTTCAAGGTAACAATAATATGCCATGAGTATTTTCACTGAAGATCTGTTGTTGATGGGTTGATTGGATTGGATTCTTAACTAGTATTGTCCGTATTTTGTCTTCGATTCTCCTGTTTCTGTGGTACGATCTGTAGTTTTGGCTGTGTGAATTCCTCATTTTTATTTACCATATACTGTTCTTTTTATTAAATGCACGATGGCTGTCTACCATTCAAGCTTCTTCGAATTATCGGAAACTCAGTCGATTTATTTCTTCGATTATGTATGTATGTATGTATATATATATTTGTTTGTCTGATCTTATTTCCATCTCTCTGCTTGTTTTTTAGGAGAATTTCTTATAAGGATTTCGCACCTGGTCTTTTTGTATAGGTTACAATTCATGATTTTAAGTAACCGTAGATATTGCCGATTGTTAATCATTTGATATCATGATTTCCATGGTTACATGAGTGGGAGGGAATTGTAATGGTGATGTTTAACGACGGAGAACATTTATTTTGTTTTTTAGGGTGTATTGCACTCACTTTGTCATTACAAGTCTAGGAACGATTATGAGATTTCTAGGTGTCAATTTGTAGGTGTTTGTGCTGATCATAATGATGCTAACCTAAATAATGATGAGCTAGGGCTCTCGGAGGGGGAATATTTTATGATTGTTCGTCAAGCTAATTTTAGAAAAACTTTTGGTTACTCACCCATAGGGATCTTGACTTTGTGATTTACTTTGGTATTGAGTTTGACTTGTCAGAATTTGGGTTGTTGATTCCTGTCTATCAAATGGTTAGGCAATTTAAGCTGCACTTTGATTGTATCAATGAAACATATCAGTCCTAACTGATTGTTGCCCTTCACCAGAACAAGCAGATGCATATAGGAGAGGCCTTCTATAGGTGTCGCAACAACGTCCCACAAATTAAATCTTTTGAGTGTTCCATAACCTGCACCTCTTGATGCCTTTGTCAATAGAAAAACTAGTCTGGATACAATCTTGGAATGTAACTTGTTAATGATCTGCAAAATTGAGGTGGTATAGCTCTATTTGTATTACGTGCTATAGTGTGTTTGCATTATGCATATCTACATAACTTCAAGAAGCATGTTTCTGTTTCTCTGTGGATTGAACTTATGATATTTAATATAAGCATCAGTAGTAGGGTGGTTGGATGCATCCGAATGTAGAGGTATATGTATATCTTTCGAGAAGCCTGATAAAATCTCAACTGAGAGATGTATGTACCAGCATAGCATATTCATGAAACTACTATTTTAGTTAAAACTAAAGCCCAAATCATTTCATTCATTTCAACTTTAAAGGGGAGATCACATAGACGGAGTCGGAGAGGAGGGTAGGGCTCACGGCTTACCATGGAATTGGCAGCAGAGAAAAAGGAAACCACCGCCACCAATCTACCCCCTCCAGCTGTGGACGAAGATAAAGACCAGATCGCCCTCGATCTCAAGGCTGGTCTCCACCCTCTCAAGGTTCGTTCCCGTTCCTCATTTTTGCCGTGCTCCCTATTTTGTTGCTTCATTGCTCTGTCGCCACCATACCTTTTAACCCCGAAACTCAATGTTAAACTTTTGGTTTTATCGTCTGCCAAGTTTTTAGTTTTCGCCATTGAGAACTTTCGGATTTCTAGTCTGGACTATGCTTATCAACTGAAATTAAAGTGAAAATTTATGCGATACAAGTTCCTGCTTTATTATTATTATTATTATTATTATTATTATTTATTTATTTATTTATTTTCCCTTTTAGATTCTTATATCGATAGCCTATTTATGATTTAACCCTTGGTTCATAATCAATCAGCGTGTGAGTCAAGTGTATCAAGCTATTTTAGGGAACCAACAAAGCACATACTTAACTTCTGTGAACGATCACTTGCGAGTTTTGATCAAAACTTTAGCTAATTGTTTCACATTCATTTCACATCATCATCCGGAAACCCATAAGAGGCCTATAAAACGGTTCCTTTAGTTCAACTCCTTAATGAAATGCCATTATTGTCTTCATGGCATTGTTGATGCATCTGTTTTTTCTTATATTTATTTATTATCATGTTTTTAAGAAAAAATTTATCTCATACTTAACTATATTTTTGCGTGCATCCCCCTTATATGTATAATCGTGATCTATAAATGTGGTTTCTCAAACTCTGCTCGCTGTGATGATTTATTAAAGAAGATAAAACATTGGTTTATTATTTCATGGTCAGTTCCCAGATATCATATGGAAACCCTTAAAATAATTTTATACCTAACTATGTCCGTGCATGTGTTTCCATATTTACTTCTTAACATAGTCTGTTATTATTGTTTACTTAGCCTATACTTGTTGTGATACTTTTCATAAATAATGGGGAATGTCTAGAGGTAAAAGTTAGAGAGTTTAAATTTTTAATATGTAATATTTTGAGCAAAGAAAAAATACACTTTTATATGATTTGGAAAAATGTAAACTGATTAGAAAACATATCTAATGTTTTGTGGGAGGAAAGACGCCTGAATTAGTTTTGGAAGAAGTTTGTTCTTTTTTATTTCTAAACTCTGTTTTAATCTATTTAATGTTCTATTTTTCCTTAAGAAAACCATCATGTTCAACAATTAGTCTTTTACATGCAAAATATCACATTAGACAACAATTTTTACTAGAAGTGTTTAAATGTAAAATACAAATGAAGACGCAAAAGAATACAATCATTTATTCTGCAAGTAACAGGGCACTGATGAGAGAAAAATAAGTAATGCTTTGCACGAGGAAATACTCCTAAATAATTTTGGAATTTTTTTCAAAATCTTGTCTCTTTTTTACTTGTTTTATTTTCTTACATTTCTTTGCTTATTCTGCAAGTTTGTTTTTCCCCTTCATGGTTTTTCTTCTGAATCTTCTGATTGTCAAAACCATTTATAATGATTGTGTTTCAGGTGGGGGAAATTTTATGATTGAGTTTTTTTATTTTTATTTTATTTTATATAATTCTATTCATGGGATTCATCGTTAAATCTTTTCCTTGTCATCTTCTTTTGAAATATGTATATATGATTTTCAGCACAAATTTGTATTCTGGTACACTCGCCGAACGCCTGGAGTTCGAACTCAAACATCATATGAGGATAATGTTAAGAAGATTGTGGAATTCAGTACGGTATGCTTTCTTTTTCCAGTTTGAATGGTTTAAGGAGGTTGTGATGTCTTGATGCATCTTTTCTCTTAAGCTAAATATTCACTGTATTTATTAACGAACATACCATTATTATTTATCTGATGTATTTCAGGTTGAAGCCTTCTGGGTCTGCTATTGCCACTTAGCTCGACCATCCACATTGCCAAGCCCAACTGATTTGCATTTATTCAAGGCTGGTATCCGTCCACTGTGGGAGGTGTGCTTATTTGTTGAGATATTTTATGTGCTTCTACTTTAATTTAAGACTGCTTTTCATTTAAGTTAAACATTTTATTTTTCTCAGGATTCTGCTAACTGCAATGGTGGTAAATGGATTATTAGGTTTAAAAAGATTGTATCAGGCCGGTTCTGGGAGGACCTGGTATGGAGCTAAGTGCTTAACAATATACTATTTAAATATTTTTTTGTTTTTTATAATTATAGTTTAGATGTCAATCATGTGCCCAGGCATAAGCCACATAATTTTGTTCCTTGTGTACATAATTTTGATAAATGATTGATCTGCCTATTTGTAGAAAGTGTTCACGATCAGGGAGGGGTGATCATGAAGCGCTCTTCTCAGAAGTTTTAGAAAACCCTTGAAGTGCTTATTTTGAATGTTTTTATGCATATCTATTTTTTTTTTTTTATCGGATATGCATATTTTTACTTGCTCAGTCCAACCAGAAAGTAAACATTTTTCTATTTGGTTGTCCAATTATAAAATAATCATTTCATTAAATACCCAATTTTTTTTTTCACAAATACCTATAATTTACATCACATCATTACTTTTACACAAAAAAGGGCAAAAATATCATTATACTACTCTTAACTACCCACTACATACTATTTTACCCCCTCAGTCCAGCCGGAAAGTAAATATATTTCTATCTTGGGTTGTCCAACTACAAAGTAACTATTTTATTAAATACCAAATTTTTTTCCACAAATATCCTTAATTTATGTCATCATTAGTTTTACACCAAAAAGTAAGGGCAAAAATGTTATTACATTAGTCTTAACTACCCAATACATATTATTATTTTTTAAACTCTGCGTCAAAAGTAAATGTTTATTTTGTAATAGGGCGGAGGTACTATCTTTTGTTAAATGGCTTGTTGTGGCTTTGATCCTGTTTGATAAGGTGGGTTGATTGAGAATTGATAGGGCATTAATTTAGGTACTTGATGGTGGCATTCAAGTAACTATTACGGGCATTATTATTTGATATTGCTATTTTGTAGCTTGTAGCATCAGAAAAATTTGATTAGTAGTTGTGTATTGGATATTGATATGCAGATTCTGGCATTAATAGGAGACCAGCTTGATTATGGTGATAATATTTGTGGAGCAGTATTGAGTATCCGTTTTAACGAGGACATAGTGAGTGTGTGGAACCGCAATGCTTCTGACCATCAGGTCAGTTGCTCTTTTTTATTTGGCTATACATAATAATACCCCAAGCCTTAGTTTCCTTTGGTGATGTTATATTGCGAGGGAGAATGCATGCTCTTGTGCTTATTTGCTTTGTTGTCCGACCTGCAGGCGGTTATGGCTCTGAGAGATTCCATCAAAAGACATTTAAAGCTTCCCCACAGCTACGTGATGGAGTACAAGCCCCATGACGCCTCCCTGCGAGACAACTCCTCATACCGCAACACATGGTTGAGAGGATGAGGCTGCCACTGGCTCCGCAACAAAGAGATGGATGACCATGCCACTTTACAATTTGTCATATGAAGGTAGATTCATCCATCCATGTTGGCGCAGGCTTGGCCTCTTAATTGAATCTCACCTCACCCTACAGTCACATAGGGCTATGCATCCATCCATCTCCTGTGTATTCGATGGATGGTTGACTTACTCACCTATCACTATGCTGTTGGTTTACTTTTGATACCGGGCTCGCTAGCTTGCACTATTGTCTTTCCATGACCCTCCCTCACCCCTTTTCCATCGTCACAATCCTCCCTCCCTCCCTCCAGTTCATCCGCCTATTAAATATATATGAATGATCATCTTTCATTAGATTTCAAATGAAAACTTTGGGAAATTAGTAGCGGATTGGTTCGACTCAATAAAAGTAAATTTGTCAATTAATAGAAGAAAAGAAAACGTGAAAGGCAAAAGAAGAGGAGGAATAGCTAGGAAGGGAAGGAGGGCGGGATGAGGTGTTTTTTCACTTTTTTTTCTTAAAAAAATTTACATTTAAATATTTTTTTTTAGGGTGTGTTTGTTTGGAAATTAGATTTTAAAAACACTGTTTATTTCCTTTTCTTTAAAAAAATATTAAATTAAATATTTATTTTTTATTTTTTATATTATACTAAAAATTAATTTTACAATAAAAAACATCAAATATCACAGCAACACCTATTTATATCATGATACAACTATTCAAATTCAAAATTTTTACTATTCAAATTTTAATTCAAAATCTAAACTCCCAAACAATTTAGATTCTGATAAAATATCTTTAAAAAAAATATTTTTTTATTAAAAAATTTCAAAAATAAAATAATAATAATAATAATAATAATAACAATAATGTATGCAAAGATGCGATGATGGCCAGCAGAGCGGAGGTCAACACTCTCAATAGGAAAGGAAGGGCACACGGGGCTCTACTCAATCACTGATCAGGGCCAGGAAAGAAGTTCATTGACATTGGGTGCGCGAACAAATCGCAACCGTCCTCCGACCATTGCCCCGCACCCCACCCTACTCTGGCTTCTTCTCCCTCCCCTCCCTGGCGCTACGTAGAGGGAGCCCTCACACTCACACTCACACTCACACTCACTTCCACTACCGTTCAATTCAGGAATTTCGATCAACCCTAGCCTGGCCTAGCATAGCATAGCGGAGCCTCCTCAATCTTCACTTCCACCTTCCGACGAAATCATCATGTCTGCTGCAGTAGAGGAGTCTTCTTCGTCCCGCCCACATACATCCACCACCCCTGCTGCCGCTTCCCGGTCACCCTCCCATAATGCTGCCGGCGCCTTTTATTTGGCCAAGACCGTTCTCAGAGGGAGCGTCGTTCTTCAAGCTGTCTGCGGCCACTTTCGCTCCCCCTCTTCATACGACGTTGTCTTTGGCAAGGTGCGCCTGCTGTTTCCTCATCACCAAAATGTCTTCTTTCTGCTGCGATCTCCTCTATCTGTATTTGTGACTATTCGTCTGCTTCTGCTTGGCTTTTTACTATCCTCTACTACCTGATTTATTTTTAAATATGCTAGTTCTAGCCCCTATAGGCCGTTCCAACTCCACTGTCGTAATGGGTTCTCTTTAGAAGGACATAATAGCGGGTCAAAGCAAAAGCAACACTAGGTATTATGCAAATAAACAAGAAAGGAGTTGAGGCAGAGGAGCTTTTCCTTATCTCACGACCATAGGCTTGCAATTCTATTCTGCTAGCTATCATATTCAATGCAGCTCTTGTAATCATGATAATGTAGAGGAGACCGCAGTAACATAGGCATGACCTTCTTTCTTGTTCTAATTTGTATCATGAAATCAAAGCGGGCTGCGGAAACTAATTAATTATATAACCTGTAGCAGTAGCAGTGACAGTAAACTCACTCCCTGTAAATCAACTATAAGAAACTCCACCAGGTCAGTAGTTAATCTATGGCTCGTAATAGCCTTGTGATCAAGTGAGAAAACATTCATTCTTTAATGAACTAGTTTGGAAAGAATAAATGAAGGTTTCTACAGGTGCAAGAAGGAAAGTTTATTCAGGCCACCGGAGGATCAGTGAAATTCTATCCTTAACTGAAGCAAAACGCCAGCATATCACTTTTGTTATTGCTTGAATCTTGGTGTCCCTCTTAAACAAAAAAATTTATGATATTTCGATACACCTTTATTTTTTGGCATTTTCTGAACTATGACCATGATAGTGCCATCTATTTAGTTAAGAGTATGCAACTAGTTTTAACTAAAATTTGACAAGTGGAGGCTGAATTCTATTACTTACTTCAATCAATCCTATATCATTGTTTCCCTTTGAGAAATTCTTAGGGCCATCTATATAGTGTACAAACAAAAACCCTCACAAGTACATTGATTCCAATCGATTGTGACGTGGCTGATAGGAAACATTTTGTATATCTGACACTGTGGTGTTGAAGCGGAGTTCTGTATTGCTCTTCAACTGTATGTATATGTCACTGAAACACATGCTCAACTTATTGTTCTTGTGCTTGTGATGAGTACCTTTGAGATACCACTGGCATGCTATTCTTGCAAGATGTGGAACCTTGATATAATGATGGAACCTCCTGCCAGGAGACATCAATAGAACTGGTGATAATTGATGAAGATGGGATAATTCAATCAATTTCTGAACAACCTGTGTTTGGCACAATTAAAGATCTTGCGGTCCTTCCCTCGAATAAAGCTGTTTATGATCATAGTCCTAAGGTTTGTTTGCTTTCTTATTTTAGTTTATTTTATTTTTCTGTTAACCAAATTTATGTTTGGAGTTGCTAGTGATTAAGGGTTTCCTGCTTCGTTATTGTGTAGATACTTGGAAAGGATACGTTGATTGTCATTTCAGATTCTGGAAAGCTGTCATTTCTCTTCTTTTGCAATGAAATGCACAGGTTCAATCAGCAATATGTACAATTATTTTAACTTGATGTTTTCCCTATTTGTAACTTGCAAAGAAAAAGATGGATAGATAAATAAATAGGTTTTGCTTGAGTGGTGCTCTATTGTTTTAGGTTTTTCCCATTGGCTAATGTTCAACTTTCTGCACCTGGAAACTCAAGGAATCAAGTTGGAAGGATGTTGGCAATTGATTCTAGGTGAGTTTCTTGCTATGCTGCATGCAACAGTAAACAGTCTCATGCATGATAAGAATTTATTGAATTGCTAGTCATGCTGTTTTTTTTCTGTATTTACTTTCTCAGTGGGTGTTTTGTTGCTGCTAGTGCATTTGAGGACCAATTGGCTATTTTTGCAATCTCAACATCTCCAAATAGTACTGATATCATTGATAAGGTTGAGTTTGACCTAGTTCTTTGCCCCAAAGGTTCTGCATTGAAGCATTCCTCCTTTGATATGCACAATTTGTGGGTTATTTCATAGCACTTAAGTTAAATGCTTGTTTCTTTCATGCATATCAGAGGATTTTCTGCCCTCCTGAAAAAGATGGGCGCTTAAAAACTGCCAGAGGCTCTACCAATATTTCTGGTACTATATGGAGCATGTGCTTTATCTCAAAGGATTACCGCCAGCCTAGTAAAGAGCACAAACCTTTACTGGCCATTCTTCTAAATAGGTGATTTGTGTATTCCTGTAATATTCTTATATTGTTCCATTGGTTTTCATTTAAAGAAGCCTAGTAAAGAAAATGTTGTTGTCTTGTAGAAAAATACTATGTATGAAAATGGTTTTTTTTTCCCTTCAGGTGGGGATCTTTCTATAGAAACGAGCTTCTGTTATTGGAATGGAATATTGATGAACATGCTGTGAATGTGGTGTATCAGTTTGCTGAAGCTGGGCCATTAGCATATCATATAGTTGAAGTCCCCCATTCTAATGGATTTGCCTTCCTGTTCAGGGCAGGTGACATTGTTCTAATGGATTTCAGGAATTCTAATGCCCCCTCTTGTGTCTATAGAACAAGCTTAAATTTTACGCCAGTGGAGGAAAAAAAGATTAAACACATTATAAGAATACCAGATATAATGGATGAAGAAGGCATTCATAGTGTTGCTGCCTCTGCTTTATTGGAGCTTGGTGACCTAAATAAAAGCGATGATCCAATGAGTATTGATGATTATGGTAGTGTGCAGCCTGGTTCCAATTATGTTTGCTCATGGTGTTGGGAACCTGGTGCCATTAATAGTTCACGAATTATATTCAGTGCCGACTCTGGGGAACTTTATGCTATTGAAATGATTTTTGAGCCTGATGGAAGCCTCAGGGTCAATTTATCCGATTGTCTCCATAAAAGTTTACCATGTAATGTTCTGTTATGGCTTGAAGGTGGGTTTGTGGTGGCAATTGCTGACATGGCTGATGGGACGGTGTTCAAGTTTGAAGAGGGAGTTCTGAAATACAGAAGTTCCATTCAAAACATTGCCCCAATCTTGGATATGTGCATAGTTGATTATCCTGATGAGAAACATGATCAAATATTCGCATGTTCTGGGATGGCATCTGAGGGATCCTTGCGAATAATTCGGAGTGGTATCAGTGTGGAGAAATTATTGAAAACTGCTCCAATTTATCAAGGGGTAACTGGGACATGGACACTCAAAATGAATGTCTCTGACTTGTATCATTCTTTTCTTGTGTTATCATTTGTTGAAGAGACCAGGGTTCTCTCTGTTGGTGTCAGCTTTGCAGATGTGACTGAATTAGTTGGTTTTCAGCCTGATGTCTGCACATTGGCTTGTGGTGTTGTGGGTGATGGCATGATTGTCCAGATTCATCAATTTGGAGTAAAACTTTGTTTGCCTGTTAGAGCTTTACATCCTGAAGGAATTGCTTCCTCGTCACCAGTATGCACATCATGGTTTCCTGATAATATGAATATAAGCCTGGGAGCTGTTGGACAGGGCAGGATAGTAGTGGCAACATCCAGTCCATGCTACTTGTTCATTCTTGGCATAATTTCTTCCTCGGCCAGTCAGTATGAAGTATACCAAATCTACTGTGTAAAATTGCAGAATGAGTTGTCCTGTATTTCCATACCAGTGGAGCACCCCCAGCAGAATACAGTTTTGATGCGTTTTGCAGCTGACTACAACTTAACTCCTGATGTTGGAAATTTGTTTGTTGTGGGAACTCATAGGCCTTCTGTGGAAGTTGTATCCTTTACGCATGACAAAGGATTTCAAGTTCTTGCTGTAGGAATTATATCATTAACCAATACCATGGGGACTACCATTAGTGGATGTGTTCCGCAAGATGTGA